GTTATTGTTCAGACTAAGCATGTCATTTTGAGGTGACTGCAATATTGCACAGCTTCAGTATCATTTGCACTAAGTCATGGACTCCATGTTCCAGAAAAAGCAAAGGGTTATTCTAAGCAGATAGTGCAGAGTTAAATTAAGCAAAAATTGCCCAGAATTGATTTGAAGAGCATTGTGGGGATTTCCAATGAATGATTTGGCTATATATATATATATAGTGTATTTTGGCAGCAATCCTTCTTTCATACAAGTTTCATTAAAGATGTCTGCTTTTTATTCAATTTTTCTTTTGTTCATAGTGATTTCTTTTCTGGACATAAAATATGTAAAATCTGTTTGTATGTTCTATATACCTAAGCACTTTTGGCTATTCTGTTAGCCATTATCAAGGATGACTTGATAAGACACTAATAGTGTTGAAACAAAATTGCAACTTTCGTAGTGATTTTATTGTAACCGTAAATTCTATGCTAACAATTTCTTTTCTTGCTTGCGAAGTTCTCTTCCAGCTCCATGCTTTCCAGTCAACTTTGATCTTCAAAAATTTAAATGCAATGTCAATCGCTATCTACTGTCTTCCTGATTAGTTTTCTTTTGTATTTGCGCCTTAGTAATGCTTTTCTTTTCTAATTTTTCTATGCCCAGGTACACCTTGTGTCTTAGTGGCTTTACTACTTTTCTTGGGGGTGAACTTGATTACAAAAAAAAAAAAAAAATACTATCTATATAGTAAACCATGCTGAAGGTACTGGTTCCTGTTTGAAGTTAAGCAGCATTGAGCCTGGTCAGTACTTAGATGGGGAACCTCTTATTATTACCCAGTACTGTAAGGAATTGCAGAGGTTCTATCATTGTGATATAATTTGGGTATTAAGACCCTGTCTGTGTTTAACCATGAGACAACTTGAATTGTATGCAGTATACACAGTCTCCAATTATCTTGTCTGGTCATTGCCATTAGCTCAAGGCTGTCTGATGCTTAGAGTATAGTCTTGTATAAGCTACAAATGACTATAAAAACACAGGTATCATCAGGCTTCTGAAAGTTGGAAGGCAAGACATTTGAACTGTTTAGTGGCTACACACACACACACACACACACACACACAAACAAATGGCTCACTTAGAAAGTATAATCTTCAACAATTTTTCCAAATTTACAATTGTATATTTGATATATTGCTGATATCATCATCCCCTTGACTTTCGTAATCGTAGGTCAGATCCAAATGCAGAAGCCACACTAACTCTTTTCCACAATGGTCTATTAATGGCAACCAGCAGCAATTCTGGTACAGTCATACCTGTCCATTTTTTGACATTCTCCAACCAGTTTTTGTGTTGGCGTCCTCTCCTACGTCCACCTTCAATGGTCCCCCTTGCATGATGGTCTTGCACAGGCTGTTGTGCTTTTTAATGTGCCCAAACCAAGCAATTTTTTTCCGTTTGACAGTGGTAAGAGAAGGTTCCCACAAAACATTCAACCCTTTTCTGCGTGTAATGGAATCTCCCACCCTCTCTATCGCATATGTGGATTGACTATATTGGTAGATATATATAGTGTGCACAGGATATACCTGGCAGTTTTGCTTCGGGAATTAGTTGGAGATTTGTCTCCAGCTGTGCTATTCGAACTCTCTGCCTTCACGCAGAGAGGAACCCAGATGAGGTTATGCCAAAGGGCAGAATCTTGTCTGGGGTGGTACAGAGCTACCCGTCTCCGTGTATACGGGGTCTACGGGGAATTTTTGCTTGAGCCTACAGGCTCAGTTTTACCCCACATTAAAAACGGCCTTGTGCCACATCCTGCCTCACGGGGAGGTATCGTTGCTTCGGGAATTACTAGCCTTCTAACCAATTCCCTGTCTTTCAGTAGTGTATTCTCTTTTAAATAAACCTCTTTCTTTCATCTACACCTGTGTTGCTGTTCCTTTCACTTGAGTACCACCTTTGTTTGTAACCTTCTTTAAGGATACAGCATTGCACAAAACTTATTGGGTTTTGTTCTTAATAGAAAATGCCAAGGATTTTTCTCGTGTAAATGTTAAATTTAAAGTAAAAGTAAAGCTTCAAGAAATAATTTAAAAAAATTAATTTTGAACCTTAGGTATTGTTTGTTTGGAATTATACACATACATACATACAAACACACACACACACATATATATATATATATATATATATATATATATATATAAAATCAGAGGGCACTAAAAAATTCCCAGCTTGATTCACTTGCCAAAATCTGGCCAAATGACTAAATAAAATTCTAATTTTTAATCACTTTTTGTTTGAGCCAATAACTTTTCACCATTACTTGTGACTGATTGATTTATTTATATATATATATATATATATATATATATATATATATAAAGTGAATATAAAAGGCAACACTCAGAGGCGACAGGCTGTTTCATGCCAGATGCAATTGTCAAGCCGTGATTGTGTATAGCATGAAACAGCCTGACGCCTCTGAGTGTTGACTTCAATGTTCACTTTTATATTTATTTTTACATATGTTCTATCTCTGATATTGAGCACTTTATACCATAAATATAACACACCTTAAAACTATATTTTTTTTATATATATATATATATATATATATATATATATGGTCTGCTCTACTTTTGTATTGAGCACTTTTTTAGTTAGTTGATTACTCGTATCAAGGATTTTTTCTTTGGGCTTTGGACCTGTATGCTGTAAGATTATTTTCGACAGACGTTCATGTTCCTAACACTTTCTTTTTTTAAAACCTTTTTTCCTTCGAAATTGATTTGACCATTAGCAAATAAAGAAACCGAAGGTTTTCCGAGACAAGTGTAGTTACCTACATACACACACACACACTCTCAACTCTCTCATTGAATTCGACGTATGAGGGTCAAGCAGATCATTTTCTAGGAAACTGACAGTCCGACGCCAGCACATGAGATTTGATTATAGTGGTGAAGTTTTTGTGCAGAACAATCCACACTTTTTGAAAGGCTGAATACAGAAACTTGGTGCACTACATGCCACAGGGTCCGCAAACGACCCTTCGCAGGTTTTGAATTAGACCAGTTGAGGGAGAAGAGGATTCACACCTTTCCCAAGGGTATTAGCATGTAAGTGAATGTAATGGATTCGACTGGAATTTGAACTCTGCTCTCCAATTCCTCTATCCATTACTCCACCATGCCTCTTCATATATATATATATATATATATATATAAATTCATGAATTATTCAAAAGCAAAAGGTTAATGATTTAATTAGCTTAGAAATCCATCATCGCAAAACAATTCAAATAATATACAAAAACCTCCGAATCCGTTATGAATGAATTGATCCTTGTTTCCATAAATTTCTGCCGTATTAGTTCTTATATTTATATTTATATGAACGCACAACCTTTAAAATTTAAAATCAAACTCAGCGTTGCTACTGGCGCGCTCCAAAAACAATAACTCATTTTCAATAGCATTTTCGGATACAACAATACATATATTTTCGTTGTCCTCTTATTACTAAGAGAAAAAACAAGAACAACATCTATTCTATACCTGAAGATGTCTGTAGGAACAGACGAAAGCTTGTAGTAAAAATAAAAAAATATATAGAAGCACAAATTGGATTTGTACTCTAGTTGTAATGCTAGTTGATTATTCTGTTTCATTCAATTTCTTAAAAGCATGAATTTATCTTCCTTTAGCTATATTTGTTAACTAGCAAGGCTGATTGGGCTACCCTGCCTGTGTAGAGCAAAAAACTTCTGAATTCAAATCTTTCTTTCTGAGGAGTCACTTTCTATTCTAATTTTTTAACATTATTCCAGTGGGGTCAAACCTTGTGACAATGGCTGTTTGGAGATGTTGTGGCATAAAAAAAAAAAAAAGAAATTGGTAGTCAACTACTAAATTGACACGAGAGTGCACACATACACTCATCCTTACACTATCTGACAAAAAAATAATCAGCAAAGTGGAGTATTCAGTGAAGAAAAGAATCGCTTCAGTATTAATTTTCTTCAGGTTTAGCTTGGTAATAACTTTCCCAAAGTAAGGCACTGCACAAGAAAAAGTAAAAAGTTCTTTGCCAAGTTTAATAAATAGTTATCTATAAAATTAGTTTTAGGTTACATCTGCAAGCTACAAATTAAATATCAATAACTTTCATAGGACCTACAAATTACTACTAGTGTAATGTTAATGAATATGGCAGTCAGAGAAGATAGGAATATAGATAGATTTAAATTAATATAACCAGTTGACCTTTGTAGCTTAATTGCTAAGGCTGCTGTGAAGAGGTAAGCTCATAAAGATAAAAAAAGCATATGAATTTAAATCTTGGCAAAGACTATATTTCTTCATTCTGCACTGCCAACTGATGGTCATCTTTGTTGTTATACTTGAAGAAAAGTAAAACTAAGAACATTGATATTTATTTACATTATTTGGACTGTTATCTTCATTGCCATATTCACAACATTGTATACTCTAGCCTTCTACAGATGATTGAAATTTTGAACCAAACCCTTTATTTTGTCCACCGGAGTTGATTGTTCTAGTCCCATGTGCCATGCCTCTTGCAGATGTCCCAGTTATTTCTCTTTAACTAAACTCTCCAAGTTTGGTTCACCACTGCTGTGGCCTGGTATTGAACTCACAACTCTTCGGGTTTAGTTACTGAATCTAACCAACATCTTTTATGTACTCTTGAGGACACCCGTGTATTAATTTTTGGAACATATAAACCTAATGTCTCAGCAGCCATCTTTTACTAGTGCTCATATTGTAATTTCTCTGTTATTATTATTATTATTATTGCATTTTTTACCAGAGCTTATATTGCAATTTTTGTTTTCTTTAACACTCCTTATTATCAATAAACATTTATCTGAATAGCTTTGTGTTATATTTTCCTTGTCAGCTGATGTATTTTTTTTTTCTTCGTCTTTTCAGAAAGTGATTACAGTGTAGTGTCTGAGGAGGCAGCTGTTCATTCCTGTCACAATGGCTAAGCCATTTGAATTTCAATGGCGCATCCCTGTGCCAGAATTCCTCCTCAAGGGGGCAATGTTTGATCGATGGGATGAGGTAAGTGTTTTCTTATCATTTTTATCTTTGTTTTATATATATTGATGTAATGAATATGCATACACCTGGGTTCCCCCTCACAGTAATATGATTGGCTGGTGTCAGCCATAAATACAGATTGATGTGGAGGTACATGGTTGCCTTTTGGCTATGCCTATTGCCTACCTCCACAACAAGGACCAGTCCATTACGGTTACCTGCTAGATTGTTCTACTCGGTTACAGTAGTCCAAAACCGCTTTGCTACTTCGAACAAATATATCCCTTTCCGGGACATATCATATATTGAAAAACAAAAAGGCAGACTAATTTTGTTATTGATTGACTAGATTGCTGAACTGATTTCGAACTTGTGAAATTTTTAACTTAAAACTGAATCAAACATTTTGAATAAAGCATGAAATTAAAACAGTTGTCAAATGTGGTCTGCCAAATTGGACTAAATTTGAATGCTTGGCAATCCAAGTCAGGTCATCTTATTTCAAAATGTAACCTTAAAATTTGCAAGGAGTAAAATTCAAGATTAATCACATTGGGCTTTCAAGACTAACCTGATTGTTCAATCCTGGATAGCTGTTTCCATGAGCAAATGTTAGAATATAATGTAGATATATTTGAAGGACTAAGCAAAGATATATACATTTTTTTTTTTTTAATTTTCCCTTACTTGATGTGACTAACAATTATGGAAGCTGTATATACATGAACCATAAAAATCAGACAATAAGAAATCTATCTATATACATATATAAAAGACAGTTGCCCAAGCATGCATGTGTGTGTGTGTGTGTGTGTGTGTTTCCGGTTAAAACTAAAAAAAAAAAAAAAAAACTACAGTAATTTGTGACAAAATAAATTTATATACAGACTCATTATCCCCCAAACCAGCATTTTGTAAAAAAAAAAAAAAAAGTACCATCATATGATTTGTATTTACAAAGATATTATAAAATTAAGATGCGTTAGAATGCATTAGAAATTCTCAGAATTAAAAAGTTAAAACAAAAGATAATTCTTATTCTAGCATTAGATTACTGTTCATTTTTACTTTTTTATTCTGCTAAATGCTCTGCAAGTATGTATTTTTAAAATTTCTATTCTCTTGAATTTATTTTCACATCTATAGTAAATAAAAGTGTAACTTTAAAAAAATTAATATTAAAACAACAAAGTAAATTTAAAGAAGAAGAATATTAAATACAATTATTTGACAAAAAGTTTGATATCTATTTATTCAAATATTCAAGTGTGTGTCTTGCTAAAACTTAAAAACTACAACAATTAATTTGTGTGTTTGTGTTATTATTAATAGTTTTCAGCCATCTTATGGAAAATAATGTTTTTTATTCAATCTTTAAAAGATAAACATCATTGTTTTTTTTTTTTTGTAACATAAAAAAATAATAATTTTCAATTAAGTTTTATTAAAGCAAAAAAAAAACAAACTATAGTGAGCCTGATTTTTTCGAAAATTTTTAAATTTGTGAAACAAATATTCAACACTACTAATGCTGACCATAACTCATATCTGTCTCTGCTAATTTTTATCTAAAGTTTTTTTTTTTTTTCCTTTTCAAATACAAATACAACTTGAAATTTAAACATAACTGCTTTTCAAAACTAAATTCTCAATGTATCTTGCTCCTACTGTCTTTCAAAATAGTAATTAATGTTTAAAAGTAAAACTTTATTTACTTAAAAAAAATTTAAATTCCCCTCCAAAATAAATGGCAAATAATCATTTTTCAAAGAAGGCTTGCTATAATTTTTGCTTGAGAAAATGATTAAATTAAATATGTTTAAACTATATCTTACTTTAAGTTAATTTACTTTTTATTAATAACTAGCAGGGATACCTGGCATTCCTTGGAAGATCTTTGAATAATAGTTTATTATTGACATTATTGATATTTTTCAGCCATCTTATGGAAAATAATTTGCATCTAGAGAAGAGAAAAAGAGTGAATTTTTTTTTATATTTATATTTTTCTATATTTAAAAACACATTTTTATAAACTTACAATAAAAAAATTTTGTTTCTGAAAAATCTAAGTTCTATGACCATATGATGATAAACTACATTCGTATCCTGAGTAAGACAATAAACTATGTCCAACAGCAAGGCCTCTGATTAGGAGGTTTTGAGGAGCGTGGAACCACCTCTTAATTGCTGGTGTTCCCAGGTCCACCCTGACCCAGATTGGTAGCATCTGTTAGGATCCCAGCTATGAGCAAATAGTTAACTCCCAAACTAGGGTAAAAACACCATGAAAGTGTAAAAATAGGTTTTAATACCAGAAATAAATTTTTTGAAGGAAAAGGGTATTATCAGCAATACATTTTTGGAAAAATATTACCAGCAATAAAAAACTTGTTGGCATTAAATAACCCATTGTGGTTGATATGCCATAGAACGAACCAAACCAAACTAGATTCTATGATTTGTTTACTACATGTAAAAAATTCTAATAATTTTTCTGTTAATTCTTTTGTACCACCAAGTATTCTTTGCATATTGTTAAGATGCTCCAAAAAATTGAAGAAAATAAACAAAACTTATTCTATTGCTTTTTATTCTGGTAAGAGGTATAACGATAACATGTATGTCCTGAAATAATTTCAGGAAAGTACATACCTCTCCAATAGAAAATTGTATACCTCCTATGTTGATGTTTTAGTGAAATATGGCTACCCTCTTCTCATTCGTTAAAAACCATCTTCCATGCTCTGCCTCCATTAAAGGTCTAGATCTAATGGAGAAACTATATCAGTTCACCAAGTTGTATATATCTAGTGAAGACCCCAATACTGAATCATTTCAAACCTCATCAGAGCCTCAGTCTGTTTAATCTCTTCCTAAACTATGCCTTGTGAATATACAAGCCCAAATGTAAACAGATAGACATTGATCATTTAAGCATTCCATATCTGTAGCAAATCCTAAACATATTTACTAGTAGAAAACAGTGTTCCTGTTTTCCATCCCCTGATCAGTGTAATGATGATGAGAAACGCTATCCTGATGACATATTTATTCATAGGGCTTACGGCCACATCACATTTAAACACCAGTTTCCATATGATCACCAAAGTTAAGCAACATTGAGCCTGGTCAGTACTTAGATGGGTGATTGCTTAGGCATACCAGGTGGTGTAAGCTTGGATGTGTGGGTTGGGTAATGGATAATGGCTTAGAATTGTTAATCTGAGAACTGAGTTACAATTCCAACGGAGCTTGTTATATTCACTTACTCATAAATACTCTTGAGAAAGATATGAATTCACTTTTTTTTCCTCCAGCTATGGGTTAATTAGTAACACTTGTATCACTAAATTTTTATTATCTCAAAAAAAAAAAAAAAAAATTCTTACAATCTAAAAATATTTTCTAGCTTAAAATAACTTGCAAAGTGTTGTTAAGCTATAGAAAACAATTTGATCAATCAATCAAAGGTATCCATAGTTAGGATAAGAATGACATTGAACAAAAAAAAAAAAAATCAATATCTTCTACCAAGTGTTCAAAGAAGTAGAACTCAAAATAAACCTTTCCAAAAACAGAAACTATGGTCTGGAATCGGAATAAAAGCAGTGATAGCACATACTCTGAATCCATAAAAAAAAATTCTTAATGTGGAAGTAATAAATACTAAACAATTTAATTACCTCAGTTATGAATCAGTTATAACAAATTTAGTATAAGCAATAAGTAAATTGAATATAGAATCGGTTACACTAGTATTTTTGTCAAATGCCACAAGATACGACAAGGCCAAAACATTAACCTAAAAATAACCTTATCAGATCTATTTTCTCCTATGAATGTCATGCATACCATTGAACTTGTTCAGAAATGTTTAAACTACTAGCTGTATACACTTGTTTTCTCAGATCAATGATTACAAATACCTTTGAGTAAATGAACCCTGTAGGTCTTAGAGAGGACCATTCTTCTTCAAACCTTGTGAAATGACACAAAGAACTTTACCAAATAAGAGAAACTACATCACTTGAAGACTTTCAACAGCAGCGACAACTAAAATTGATAGCACATGTGACTTGAAGAGAAAATAATGGCATAATCAAGATGTTGACTTTTCAAACTATTTCAAAGGACAGAATAGAAAGGAAGCTCTTATCTGTACTATAAAGGGCAATGACAGTTATTTAACTTAAACTTTAAAAAAACTTTTGAGAGGAAGATTTTTATAAATTTCAACCAAAATTAACAGCAACTGTTCAGTCAGTGAATGGCAAATATTTCCATATAAGGAAGTTACTAATCTCACCATTACTGTTAGCATTTGGTATAAATTGAATTCTGTATAAAATTCTATAGAGAGAAGAATAAGGAAGTTTAGTTGTGATTAAATGACATTTTGAGATAAGACTTGTTAGGAGTTACAAACTGCTGAAACATCAAATTTTGGTATTTTGGTGACTTCCCTTTATAGACATTATTTAATTGACAAATATTTTTTGAAGAGTTTTATTTGGAAATCTGGGTCATTTGGGTTATAAATTTCCCTTTGACTCATTCACCATTAGTTATTTTTATTATTATTTCTTATTTAATTTTAATATAATCAAAAATATAATTTTTAAGTTGTTTATGAAAGTACATTGATTCTTTGAATCAAATTTTAAGACACTTGATTTAAATGAGAATTTTAATTTTTCTGTTAATTTTTGTCTCTTAGTTTTATTTATATACTTTTAAAATTAAGCTCTTAAGAAAAGAGTTAATCTTTTTTTTTTTTTTTTTTTTTTTTTGCTCATGACAAAAAAAATAAATTATGCATAAAATTAGATACATCAAATGAAAAGGATCAAAAGCATAAGAAAACTTCAAGGGTAAATGATAAAGACTTGAGAGTAATAGCTTAATCACTGGTTTCCATCCTGGGTAAGACGATAAACTACATCCGACAGCAAGGCCTTTGATCAGGAGGGTTTGAGTAGCATGGAACCACCTCTTAATTGCTGGTGTTGCCAAATCCACCCTGATGAGGTTGTAGCATCTGCCAGGGTTCCAGCTATGGGCAAATAGTTAACCTCCACCAAAAGGGCTCAAAACACTATGAAAGTGTAAAAATAGGTTTTAATACCAGCAATACTTTTTTTGAAAATTTTTTGCCAGCAATACATTTTTGAAAAAAAATATTATCAACAATATATTTTTGAAAAAAATGTTACCATCAATAAAAATCTTGTTGGCATTAAATAATCCACTGAGGTTGATATGCTGTAAAACAAACCAAAAATATTAGCAGCAATAAAAATCTTGTTGGCTTTAAATAACCCACTGAGGTTGATATGCTGTAAAACAAAACAAAACAAACACTGGTATAGATAATGATTAGCAAATCAGAACTTATTTGAGATTAAAAAAAAATATTTTTCTGTTTATAAAATCTTCAGAATTATTTTCTTTCATTTTATGTGCAGGGCTGCTGAATAATTCTAGATACAACCAAGAAATCCTTTCCTCAAATTCTGATATTTGGTCAGATTTTGTGAAGTGAGTTTTCTGATCAAATGCATATATTAGTGTTTAATAAATAAAAAACACATATAAGGGAAATGGATAATCTCCAAATTCTGTGTATAAAAACAAAAAAAGCAAACTCTTTAGTCACTTGAGGTAGTAAAATCATGTTGGACACCATTTTTGTACCTTCTATGCATACAATTAATCTTTTCTCAGTGATATTAACTGTGGATGACAGGAATTTGCATCATTGCAGTTTTATGGCACAATTGCAAATTTCTGCTGAAGCTAATCGGCTCCTACTTGGTAATAGAGGTGGAGTGGCAGGGTCGAGGAAGAGGTATTAAGCAAGCTAACAAATTTTAATACAGATTAAATTTCTCAAGACCAACAAGTTCACAAACCTCATTTTGTAGCTTGTCTTTTTTTTTTTGTTAAGTACTGAGGGGGGAAAAAAAAACCTATAACAAATAAAAATGAAAATTACTCTTCCCTGTTTATTCTGCTTTTGGTTTGAAATACTGCAAACCTATCCACCTTGAAGCACCTGCAGGATAACAAAAGCAACTGCTACTGTGTTTAGCTGCTATACGTTCCAGGTCCATTGTCAGTGCCAGTTCAGCTGTCTTGGAGCACTGCTCTTGTGCCAGTATAATCATGGAAGTATTCCAAAACAGCAAGTCTCTTCTGCCTTTGTTCCATTGTTGATGCCCTCGGGCCCCGTCTGTGCCAATGACCACAGTGAGTGACAATAGTCTTCTCAAGCTGCTTGTGGTTGTCACAAGATGGCCGTCAAAAGAACAGTGGCTCTCTCTTACCTGCCTCAACTTGGGAACACTCAGGTGCAAAAGCATTATTCTGCAGACTTGTGATTCTGATCCAGCTGTTGATTGCACACCTGTTTACCCCTTTACCTGTCTTTCTAGAAAGAATGAATGAATGTTCTTTTATAGCACATCATTTACTATATAACGGTTATGTAGTATAGAGGGTGGTGTGGGGTGGTGTCATGTTTATCTGCATGCAAACAGAATTGTCAAACAAAGTTTGAATTTTGACTAAAATTGCTTGTATTCACATCACACTAATGCTCTTGTGAAAAGCATAAAATTCCCTTCTTCACAGTATTAGATATCTTGAAAAAGGTTCTGTTCCTGATTCACTGGTTGATTTATAAGATATTTGATGAGTTACTACTGGGATTGGAGAAGACCTCTTTTCTAGATCTCCTTTATCTGCCCATGTAGTAGGTTATACATATGTCAACTTTAACTGAATATATTCTTCATATTAATTCTTGTACTTTGCCATATTTTTCATCATAGAAGATGTGCTATTTTTTTAAAATTAAATCTTCTATGATGAAAAGTATGATAAATTACATCAAATAAATCAAAAAGAAAGAACTCCCCGAATCATCTAAATGACTGGGTTATTAGCAGAATGGCGCTGGTACCAAAAATCCAAGATTTTATGAAATTTACTAATATTACAATTTTCAAAGCATTATAGTATGTGTTTTAAAATGTCAGAATTTTCTATGTTTTTAATTTTTGTTGTTTGTCAATCAAAGGAAATAAATGTGATGTAAACAATCAGATATAAAAAGGCAAGTTTTTCCTTGTGGAAAGGTGAGACAAAAATGTGCAAAAGGGGCAAGTGAGATCATAACAAACACCATACTGAAGGAAGCACAATCATATATTTTAAGCAGTTTCAAGAACTGTTCAGGCCACAACCATATTTGCATTACTAGAAACAGCCAAAAAGCACTGACATTTTAACAACTGTAATGGTGAAAGAAAAAGAAAGCCACAACCTAGATTGACAGATAAAATTGTGTCTTCTTTAATTGCATTTACAGGAAAAACAGACAGTGCTCTTTTTGAAATGCAAACATTGCATTTTCTCTAGCGCTTACAAAACATACAGAAAATTACTTGGTTGAAAGTACCCCCCTTATAGAATATAAAATTGCAACAACCTGCAAAGCAGTACCAATTTTGACCCTGGTACAATATATGCAGCCTTGGGTGTAGTAGATATTCTGATAAAATTTTCAAAGTTTTCTGACATCTTGTGACATAGTGTTGTAGCATACTTATGGACGATAATGGGTATGTCCCCATTCACATAAATACAGTAGTGAATACTGTATGTTGGTCTGCAGTAGGAGATTCATTATGGAATTCATTTGACTTCCTTCTAGCAGTTGACTACTACTTCTACGCACCACTGTTGAATCTTATATGTGTTGTTCTTGTCCTAAGTATTATCGTTCATTACCAACCTTCATTTGATTATTCTATTCAGTAACCTTTCCTAGATTACAACACATAGGTGCTTGAGTTTTAGATGCTGCTGCATACCATAATATTCAATAAGGCGAAAGAGTTCAGCATAAGGAAATGTCATACGATACATAAGCTCCTTTTGTTCAATTAAAACCTTTTGAGATTGGTCAAATCATGGGCATTTAAGAGGCTGGATGGTCATTTTGGAGAGTTGCTGTGTATGTTGGACATTATGTGCTGATTGTACTTTGAAATTGGCAGTAGTGGTCAAATGAATATCCCTACATTTGTAGACCAGGTCTGAGACAAAACATATAGTACAGGTCCTTGGCAAGATTGATGCATTTAAAAGCAGAATTGGCTGATTACATGA